GGAGGTATCGATCGCACCTGGAGGACGCGCGGGGCCTCCGGCCGGCACCCGCTCTGTTCTTGAGGCGGGTGGGGGGCACTCAGAGGGCACCCGTGGCTTAGAGGCAGCTTTGGGGGCGCCAGGGGAGCCGCGGTTCCTCGGAGACGACCGTGGCTGTTTCCTCTGCCCTAATTGCCTGGGATGAGAAGAGGAAAAAGCGCGTTGGCGCGTGGCTTTCTAATCCCGAAGCAGAGCAAAAAAGGTGGGTGGGGATCTTGTCACGCTCCACAGCTCGCACCCAGTGACGTGGTAGTTGCTCAGCGCCATGGTGGGATTGGGTGGCTTTTGCTCAGGGCGCTGAGCATGCGTGTATCCGTTTCCTATTGCACCTCCTCACAGTCTGGGAAAGTAAGTAGAGCAGCTGTGAGCATCCCCATTTTTCAGATGGCCAGACTGAGTTCCAGAGTTATTCGCCTACAATCGAATGGATCACTAGTAGGCCAGCCCGTTACTTGCAGCCCAGTCCTCTTTCCACCCTCCCTCCCCCACCATGCCTGCAGACACAGGGCCAGACTTGTCCAGCCAGGCCACAGAGGGCGCAGCCCCAGCCCCCTGCTTCTTCTAGAGGCCTGGGATCTAACAAGGTCTGCTGGCTGAAGGATCTGCTTCTATTCTTTTGTGCATGACTGTCATACACACTAAGCCCTTGGCTGACATTTTCCTATAGCGGTGGCAAAGTTAATCCCTTTTATGATAGCCAAGTCCTAGGTGAGTGGCCTTGTGTAGATAGTCCCTGATTTCTTAGGCTGTTACTGTAGCTACACATCTAAGTTTACAGCGGCACTGGAAATAGGACACCCTATCTCCAGGTTTCAGTTTAAAAAACAATGACCTTTGTGGAAGTATCGCTTCTCTGCACTATGAACGGAAAAGAGATGTACTCTAAGAGTTCTGTGTGAGGACCCTGGCTGTGGCACCAGAGACACCCCTTACCGGAGTGCTGGATCTAGAATGAATATTACATAAGTTCAATAAGAGCTGGCAGGCAACACAGGCACATGAGGAATTTCAACTAGTAACATTGGGGATGGACGCTGTAAATGGCTGGGCATGGTTGACGCTTGCATGACGCTCCTTCTTTGAAATCTCACCATGGCCATCAGTTGTCTGGATCCCCTTCAAGAATCCCCACCTCCTTGGAACCTTCATTCCAAATGCAGAACTCTGGCTATGTTGACCTATTGCTTTTTAATTCCTCCCTTCAAAATAAACTGGGGAGAATAGCAGGAGGTTCCCCATGCTACTGTAAACTTTACAAGTTGCCAAATCTTTAGCCAGGACAAGAGAGTTCCCTAAGGCTGCAGCAATGCCAAGTATCAAAGCAACAGAAATTCCCTTTAAAGATGCTATGACATAAAAAGCAAAAGACTCTAGAGTTGATGGCTAATCTGAATACAAAATAAATCCTCCAGGCAATTTGTGTGTGCATCAAGCATACTCTTAATATGCAGCCTGTATGACTTACCTACTAAATGCTTATCTGAGCATAAGCCAGAAACCCAACCTGGATGCAGGGGAGAAAGACCAAGGGCCCAGAGAGCTAGCGCTTAGCTGGGTAGCTGACCAAGGGCTTCCCTGGGAGCAGCTGGTTTTCAGCACACGGGGTTTTTCTTTCCCAAAGAGTGCTGCTTCCTCTTGGAGAACGCCTAATTTGGCTCCTTTTACAAAAATTATAATATTTTGAATCTCTCTAAATAAGGTTTTAAACCCACTGTACATTAGTAAAGATAGGAAAGGTCTAAAAGTGTGTCCTTTCCCTTAGCAACCAGGAACATAACACAGGCACAGACCCTTTTTTCTCACTCATAATAAACTTGAGACGCATTGGGTGAGCGGTCCTGTGTCCTCAATTGTGTACTGGCTAGTGTACAAGAGAAGGGGCTTTATGTAAGAATATGCATTTGCTTATGATTCATAGTGGCTGTGGGTGGAGGCCCATTTTCAGTAGAGGGCTGGGTGAATTTTGACTATAGATATCATTATGGCTTTTTAAAAATATTTTTGCTTCAGATGACCTCACAGTGACCTAAATTCTAAGGTTCTCAGGTTCTCAGTTCTCATAATATGACACTAAAGCCCAGGTTCACTGATACCTAGCTTACTTTCCTGTTCATCTCAATGCTTTCGAAGTCACACGTTTGTTTTTAAAATGCATTTTGCATCTGTAGGTATAAAGTGAGAGCATAACCCAAAGTATAGTCGTGTTTTTGAGTCCAGAAATCTAGGAGAACTGTATTATTATTATTATCATTATAGCAGTTCCCTCTTAGCCTCAATTTTACTTTCCACAGTATCAGTTACCTAAGGTCTACTGCAGTCTGAAAATATTAAATAGAAAATTTCAGAAGTAAACAATTCATACATTTTAAATTGCATGTCGTTCTGAGTAGAGTGATGAAATCCCGTGCTGTCCACTTAGTCCTGCCCTGGACATGAATCACCCCTTGGCCCAGTATATCCATATTACATAGTCTGTCTACTCATTAGTCACTTGGTAGCCATCTAGGTTATCAGATCGACGACTAATCACAGTGCTTGTGTTCAAGTAACCCTTATTTTACTTAATAATGACTCCAAAGTGCAAGAGTAGTGATCCTGGCAATTCGGATATGCCAAAGTATTTCCTATATATATGAGTATATATAGGAAAAATATAGTATATATAGGGTTCAGTACTATCTGTGGTTTCAGACTTCTACTCAGAGTCTTGGAACATATCCCCTGTGCATAAGGGGTGAGTACTCTGCTATTATTTTAAAATTGTTTCTGAGAATGACAGGTGGGGAAGCACAGGTACATTTGTGTTTCTAGCTCCTGCAGAAGGCATTTGCATGGTTTCCCATGGTGTTGGCCACAAGTTTAATAATAATAAAAAAATTCAGTTTGACAATTAAGATGATGGCCCCTCAGATTTTAACTAATGGCAGGTATCCAGGCACTAGCACAGGCAATTTAGCCTAGTGTACAGGACCCACCTTCCGGCCTGGAGAGGGCTAGCTCCTCTGATGTTCTCACTATCCCCTCTTCTGCCTTTGAGGGACATGCAGGGTGATCACCGGCCACAGAATGCTCAGGGAGAAAGATGTTAGTCCCAGCACTTTGGGGAGAAATTCAGATAACGGTAAGACGGCCAGTAGGAATTCCAGAAAGTACAGGGGTGGAAACACTTTAAGAGTAGGGCAAGGTTAGCCTGTTCTCTCCACCCAGGTCCAGGACCCCTTTGCCTTTTTAAATATCCTCCCAGGTTCCTTAGTAACTGTGCCCAGAATCTAAATACCAGAGACTCCACTGACATACATTCCTTCTGAGCTGCTCAGTAGGAGGGCAGGAGTATGTGGGAGGCCGGTGGTGAGTCCTAGACCAGTGCTTCTCAAACTTTAATGCACACACAAACCACCTGGGGGTCTTTTAAAATGCAGATTCTGACCCAGAAGGTCTGGGGTTGGGCCTGAGATTCTGCATTTCTAAGGAGCTCCTAGGAGATGCCAGTTGAGGACCACCCATTGAGTAAAAAGATTTTGGATAACACTCTCCTGAGCATTTTCTCCCTCTACCTACATTTTTTCCCCCTTCTTTTTTGTCATAGAACTTTAGCCTTTTCTGGAGATGAGTCTAAAATAGCTCATAACCGAAGAAATCAAATGTATGCTCAGAAAAGCAAACTTTGAATTTGACTTTGCCAAGGAAGCTCTTCCCTCCGCTTGCTCAGTGAATTGGGGGGTGGGAAGCTGAGAGCAGCCTTGGATCCTGGGGCTTTGTAGCCTCCTTGTTAGCAGTGTGGACATTGGCTCAGGAATTATGCAGTAAGGGAGGACTGAGCAGCAGGAAACTCTCCCCAGCAAGGATCATCCTGGGTCCTCAGCTCTACTTCAGCTGCCTGAGGTTAGGAGTGTGCTCTTGTTCGTGGAGGAGAGCAGAGCTCCAGGGGCTTCCTGGAGATTATTGGCCACTCACATTTACCGTGTTCCTGTTACTGTATGCTAGGTCATGTGCTGTGGTTGACTGTGTGTGCTGATCCCAAGGGTTGACCTATTATCCACCCACATGTGTTGGAAGTTGGCAAATGAATTTTATTTTATTTTTATTTATTTATTTATTTTAATAATTTGTTGATTTTTTACAGAGAGGAAGGGAGAGGAACAGAGAGCTAGAAACGATGAGAGAGGAAGTTGGCAAATGAATTTTATTTTATTTTTATTTATTTATTTATTTTAATAATTTGTTGATTTTTTACAGAGAGGAAGGGAGAGGAACAGAGAGCTAGAAACATCGATGAGAGAGAAACACCAATCAGCTGCCTCCTGCACAACCCCCACTGGGGATGTGCCCACAACCAGGGTACATGCCCTTGACCGGAATCGAACCTGGGACCCTTCAGTCTGTAGGCCGACGCTGTATCCACTGAGTCAAACTGGTCAGGGCTGGGCAAATGAATTTTAGTGGTGCCTGTAGTTGGTAGACGTATACAGGAGGGAGATGGCAGCTCTCAAGCTTTTTGGAAAAGAGCTTTCAAAAATTTTGTCTATATATTAAGTCATGGATAAAAAAAATCCGTCTATGTGCACACACATACATATACACACAGCCATGGATAAATAATACCTACCTTTTGCGTGATTAATTGGTGGAGTTTGGAGGTTTTAATTAATTGAAGTGTTTCTTGGCATGGATGATATCAAAATGAACACTGATGGGTCAGCCTACACTCCACAGTATGCTAATTTTTACTTAAGTTAAGATAATCTATCATAAACATCTCCAGTAGATATTTGAAAGACAAAACGTTGAGTGTCATTTGAAAGGACATCTTCAGAGCAGCTCTGAGATGATTCAGCTGATGTGCGTGTAAGGAAGGTGTGCGATGCATCCCTGAATCCTGAGGAGAGCCTTGGTGTTAACTGTCTTTCATGCAGTCATCATCTCCACTGTCATTAATATACAATATGCTTTTTCCTCCAAAGGTGGTACCTGTGTGGTCAACCCCACAGACTTGTTTTGCTCTGTCCCTGGCCGGCTGTCCCTTCTCAGTTCTACTTCCAAATATAAGGTGACCATTGCGGAGGTGAAGAGGCGCCTCTCACCACCAGAATGCCTCAATGCTTCACTCCTGGGAGGCATTTTGAGAAGGTATGTTAAAGTTGTTTTCCAGCCCTGTGGGTCTCCGATACCACACTCCCCAACCCTCAGCTCTTACATCTTCTGTCCCATGTTGAATTCCTCAAGTGGTCAAGAGTTCTCATATTTTCCCTCAGAATGTGAATTGTCAAAACTTAGTGTTTGCTTGTGTTTGGACAGAGCAAAGTCCAAGAATGGGGGCCGCTGCCTGAGAGAGAAGCTGGATAGGCTTGGCCTGAACTTACCTGCAGGAAGACGGAAAGCAGCCAATGTTACCCTCCTCACTTCCTTAGTTGAAGGTATGGCTTTTCAGCTCTGCAGAGTAACGATGGAAGGTTAGCAATTCTTTGAAGCTCAGGATTGTTACATTATGCTGTCTCTAACTTTTGTCTATGCCAGTGATTTTCAACCTTTTTCATCTCATGGCACACGGAAATTAATTACTAAAATTCTGCGGCGCACCAAAAAATATATTTTTGCTGATCTGATAAAAAATAGGCATAATTTTGGTTCATTCACACCAGACAGCTATTATTGTGTTGGCTATTGTCATTTTATTAATTTGACAATCCTAGGGAAAAGAGGTCAGTGCCCTTGACTGAATAGTCAGGTATTGCGTGTTTTAAAAATTCTTGTGACACACCGGTTGAAAATCGCTGGTCTATACTGTTAAGCAGGATAGTTAACAGTTACAATCAAAGTTTCCAATTCATCTTAATAATTACTAAATTGCACTTAATATAAAGATCAGATAACTCATAACATTATTTAATTTATGGATCTCAGCAATAATAGGGAAGAATGCAACAATGGAAGATTGAGGTACTTTAACAAGTATGCCCTAAATATCAGCATCAAAAATTGTCTGTACTATTGTCATTTTTATTATTGTTTGTTTTAGAGTTTAGATCAATTTGACTTAAATCATTGTAACTCAGTACAACATGATCTATAGGATAAATAATAATTCTTAGAAAGAGTTCATGGGAGTCTAGGCATGATACTGAGCCTGAGGACACATCATTTGAATCCTAGCAGACATCTGTCTCCTAAAGTACCGTGCAGTTCCATGGCTTATGGGTAGAGAAACTGAGTTACAGAAAAGTTAAGGTTAACCAGTGGGGTAGAGACAGAGGTAGAAATATGTTCCCAGAAGTTATTCCCCCCCACCCCCCATTTATCTTTTGTTTCTTCTATGAGGACTAAACTTTGCATATTCTCATTCAATCTTCTTCTAAGAAGAAGTATTATTGAAGTTTCCTTTTAACTCTATGGGGGAGCTTTTGAATGTTAAAGGAGAGTTCTGTAACCCAGAATGCTATTGTTTTAAATATGAACAAAGAGGCTTTTTCCCAAGAGTCACTTAAGTACTCCTATGGCACTTTTCTTGCATTGGTTGCTCACTTGTCTACAAGGCGCTGTAGGAGGTGAAAAGTAAGTGACACACAAAAACAAGCATCCTGTATTTTTGCGGATTATCAATGCATACCACTTATTTGTACAACTTTGTGAAGTAGTGTGTTCTTGACATTTGTCTTGGCAAAATTGCTTTGGTGACTTTGCTGTTAACCGTTATATTTGCATTGTTCTCTAATTGTAATAATAACAACTACAACAATAATGTTATTGGCCACTAACATTCACTAAGTATTACTGTTACTGTATTCTCTAGCTGTGCTGTGTTTGCTTGAGTGAGTTCATACTGCAAGATGACATATGGTACAAGGAGTTGACCAGTCATCCACTCATATGGGTTGGGGGACTGGGAAGAAGGGCAAAGTAGAAAAAATGACTAAGGTGTTGATTCTAAAAGGAGAAAGATTTCTGCTCAATTTAAGTGAGAACATCATTAAAATTATAGCTATTTAACACAACAATTGTTCACGATGTAATAGGAATCGCATGGATAGTGGGACTTGATTGGTTCTTACACCCAACTCTGAAGTGGAATTGACTGAGAGGTTTATTTAAAATGCTTGGACCCCATCCCTTCATCAATTGAAATCATTCTCTGGGGGTATGGCCCAGGCATCTATATTTTTTAAAAACACCCCCAGTGATTCTGATTTAATGAGGTTTAAGGGTCATTGCTCTGTTTCCTGAGATCCTTTCCACCACATAGGATGGACTGACTATGAATTCTCATGAAATTTGTAACATATGTGAAAAGTAAAGGCCTTAAGAAAGACTTTTCTCCATGGTTTCTGTGAATATACTGGGCAGTACAAACTGAAGAGCCATAAAAGGATATATTCGCAATTCTTCTTATTGATTTTTATAGTAGCCAAAAGCACTGGAGTATCCTGTGTGGGAATCGTCGATCGATGCTAACAGAGAGGATGCAGGTTAAATATGTGAGATCCTAGGATGATCTCGTGGTCTTGCCATATACTCCTTCAGCTGCCTCTCACCGAAGTGCCTACCTATCACAAAAGTGCCTAACTTGTGTTCTACTCATTTGGTCTCTGCTTACAGAGGAGTCACATCAACCTTTGCTGATGAAGCTTAAGATTTTATTCTTCCCAGATACAACTCAAATTAATTAACATTTGAAGTCCCCAAAATACTAATGGTGTAGAGAAATATATCTTTTTTGTTGTTGTTGAATTCCAGGCACTTTGATGGAACTGAGGAAAAGAGAGTTAGGAGCAAAGGGACCTTTTCCATTCCTCAACTTCTCACATATTACATTATGATCCTCAAATGCACACTGTATTACACACACACACACACACACACACACACACACACACACACACACACACATTTTAAGTTTCATCATTAACTGCTATGTTTTCTGATATTTTTATTCTATTCCATATATTTGCTTTCTTTTTAAATGCTGATTGTAATCCCACTAAATTTATTTAAAGACTATTGAATCTTGGGTCATGGCCCACAGTTTAAAAAAAACAAATTTTAGAACATAAAGAGAGCTTTACATTTGAAGAACAAGGACGTTCCACCTAAATTAAAATAGGGTTCATTGGGCTAGTGGTGACAACTGATGGCTCTTTTCCAGCCAGCAAGATGCCATGTGCTGTGTTAGGCTCAGAGTCCTTGGAATCCTCTGGGTGATGCCAGCTCTATACAGAATAATGGTGACCCAACTCCCATTTATCAATCTCTTGGGATATTGAAATAGTTGATGCTTCTCTTTAGTACTTTTGTGACCTTGATTCTTTCTGTGCTAACATGGGTCTGATTCTGTTATCTCAGGTTTGTTTTGCTTGTGCAGTGTTAGGTGGTACATAAATTAAAACCTCACCATGTTACTAGTTGGTGGCTTTGAATTAATCATGTCTCTGGGTAATATTTTTCCTCTTCAAGCAAACATTTTTGTAAAAGCCAGCAACATTTTAGATTTTTTTTTCAAAAAATTTAAAAATTTAGATTTCTATTCATCAAAAATGGTCCCTCAGCTTTCTTATATTCACTAAAGGCTCAGTCCACAGATTCGTGCACTGGTGGGGTCCCTCGGCCTGGTCTGCATCCTCTCGCAATCCAGGATTCCTCGGCGGATGTCAGAGAGTAGATTTTGGCCTGATCCCTGCAAGCCATCACTTGAACTCTCTGACACTACTTAGTCGCCCGAATTTAGGATCGCATTGCATCTTGGTTTGTTTCTCTTTTCTGATTATCAACAGTGTCTCTTGTAGTTTCAATAGGGTGTCCATTCATTCAGTCAGTTATAAGATTACCCTACAAACCCTTTTTTTCTAGTCCAAACATACCAACTAAAGGTAAGAGAAAGGAATGCTATCACTTGGTGCTATTTCCCTGTTTTCTTTAATACCGAGCCTATGCAATTGCATTGCCAGGAAACCAGGGAAAAGAACAACCAATTTGACAATTAATTCTTTCCCATAGAAGAGGCAGTAGCAAGTGGAGGTACATCACGTTTGCTTGATATGTGATTAGTTCACGGCTTTTTATTTTAAGAAGAGGTATTGTTCACTGCTTGAGGCTTCTAGGATTCAAACACTAACATTCTTTTGCCAAGAATTTTGATAATGCATGCACAGGGCATGCTTACCATCAGTTGCTCTTCTCATGGGGTTGAGAACAAAGCTGATAGTCTCATTGCCTTTTATATAGGTACCACAATGGGTGTTTAATGAACTGTGGAGCTTAAGGCTAGTTTCCAGGGACTCATGGCAATTATAGGTCTGAAAGGACTATCATCCCCAAATAACTCCTCCACTACCCATTTCAGACATCACATTCCCACATTGTCCTTCCTTGGGGATAAAGATTTTCAGCTTTCTTCTAAAACTATGCATGATATAAAAAGGATAATAAATTGACTCTTTGTCATAATAACTCTAATTGGTGCTTGTTTAGTCAGACAATCCCCTGGAACACCTCATCATGAGGTTCTCTGGTGTTCCCATTGGCACACAAACGCTCTAGCTTTGGGCTGTGCATTTCACAGCTGTCAATGGAATTGGGCTCAATAGAGTAATGCTAGTAAAGCCTGTGTTACACATTCATTTCAAGGTCTCAGAAAATGACCTTTTTTCTCCCAGGCCAATAGGTATTATTTCATCTGTAAATTTCTTTTTTCTTGTTTTTAATATATTTTTATTGATTTCAGAGAGGAAGGGAGAAGGAGGGAGATATAGGAACATCAATGATAAGAGAGAATCATTGATTGGCTGCCTCCTGCATGGCCCCTACTGAGGATCAAGCTCGCAACCCGGGCATGTGCCCTGACCAAGAATCGAACCGTGACCTCCTGGTTCATAGGTTGATGCTCAACCACCTACCCATGCCAGCCGGGCTATAAATTTCTTATTCTAAGTTATAGAATAATTTCTATCTGAGAGACGCTGCTTTGATAAATGGTATTAGTAAGAACTAGTATTTATCAGAATTTTCAATAATTGATCACAATGAAACAGAGATTGTATCATACAATGTTATGAACAAATAGACACCTTCTTAGATGAACATAAATCATTTACTTACTTCCTAATATTACCCGAATCTATGATTTCATTCATTTTTAGGGGGAAGAGGTTGAGGCAGAGGAAATAGGCTACTACACATTATGACTTTGTGTTTGACTATGTGCTCAGAGTGTCCTTACATTCCTGCTTCTCATGGTGACTGTGGCAGAATGTGCAAGCACATTGCTGTGGCAAATGTGTTGAAGCTACTATTGCCCCCTTTGGTCCAGCTCATTACACATTGTTGTAAGCTGTAATGCTCACTAAAGACATGTCTCTGCATTATTTCCCTTGTGATTTCATTTTCTTTTTTCTGTTACTGTCATTCAAACTTTATGCCTCAACTA